AAAGAAAAAAAAAAAAAGAAAAAAAGGGACAAAGGGAAGCTCTCAAGTTGTACTGATGCTAATTTATCATGCCTAAAGGTCAGCATTTCTCAGTGTTCTTTCACACACCCAGATTTGTAGTGATTTTGTGGGTAGTGAAATGTAGCAATGCAGGGATTTGGTGGCATTTTGATTCAGTAGTATATGCACTCTGAATTACGCTAAACCAACATTTCTTCTCAACCTCATCAAAGCACTCTGTCACAGAAAAATATTCTAGTAGCACTTGACAACAGCCAGGAGTGCTCACATACTGGCTGAGAATGAGCACAGGCATCACTGGAACTGTGTTACTTACTGTCCTTTTTCCTCCTTCTTTTATATGGGTGAATTAATGAAATAAAACACAAACCAAAAAGACTTATCTGGGGACTACAACTGTTTTGGTTTTCCTTCCCTCTCCCTGAGACATGTATCCTTCATTCAGGACTGACACTCTCTCTCATATGGGAACATGTGGGAGTTGCTCTAAGATTACATACTGTTTCTAACCTGTACAGAAGGGTATGCTGTTGCCCTCGCTGAATGCTCTAATACTGAAGTCCCAGGTCTGCACTAGATCTATTTTATTTTGTTCTCAGTTATATGAGCAGGACATAGTTTAAACTGTTAGCTCTTCTAAGTGGAACCTATTTATCCAAACACTTGAGCTAGTGCCACTCATCCCTCAAGCTTGCCAAGGGGGTCAGAGCCACTGCACAAACTGACCTTTTTCTTCAAGGTTTTCTGCCTTTTCTCCCCAGATTCTCCATGTGGGTAATCCAGATGGTATTTTAATTCTTTAGCAAGCACACAATTGATTAAAATAAGAACTGTAGAGATTTCATGCTGGATTATTTTAATAGGTGCAAGCAGTTATCCTTTTTAAATTTGCATATAAAAGTTGTGTGACTTCCTTGGCCTGGTTTCTGTAGGTAGGATATGGCTCTTTCTTCCTTCCCTTCTTTTGCTGTTACAGCCCTTGGTGGTGTAGTATGCCAAATGTGCTCTACAGTAGAGAAAATTTGAGTCTTCGTTATCAGCAGCCTGGAGATCAAAATGCCAAATCCTGGAGACAAATGGATTTGCTTCTAGTCTGTTCTTTGTTGATTAGTCTGATTGCTCTAATAATGAAAAGAAAGCTAATAAAAACTAAGTTTAACAGCATGCCCTTGTTTCTGTTGTGGGCTCAGGCATCACCCCTCAAAGACAGGAGAAGTTCAACTTGAGGCTTCCCCATGATCAGAATTTGGTCTGGCAGCCAAAGTAGCACATTTTTCATAAAGTCAGACCAAGCACAAACATAAAATCAGAACTGCTATATATCATATCCCTTCTCCTAAAAGAGGATTCATGTTTGGGTAATGAGCCTTCAATTATTATTTTCACAGAGTCAATTTTGTTATTAGTGATGCTTTCAATCCCCGGGGAGAAAATCCAGCCACTGAAGAAAATAGGAATTTTGCCTTGGGTTTTTGTGAATATTACTTTTACAGCAGATACAGGATCAAGTTGTTACTTCGGAATAAAGTTGTTTTAGTAACTCTCAGCAAGATGCATTTTAAGGGTTGAGGTGTTCTTTGATATTTTGGTAGCAGAGGACTTTTTTGCTGCTTTCATCATTAGTCCTGTTTTCACTTCAGTAAAGTCAGTATCAAGAGTATATAGTTATAAATACCTACCTTTTTTAAATAACTTGGTTATGCTCTTAAAACAAGCAAGCTGAACCATCCCATTTTATGGTTCAGTTAAAGGAAAAAGGGAGGAACTGATTTATAAGTCTACGTCTTCTCTATCATTTAGGAAGATCATTTTAAGCAAACCAATCAATATTCCCATCCTTATTCTTCTTTTTATTTTTCCTAGTGAACATTACATTATAGAGGTCCAGCTTCCAGCAAAGATGTTTGAGTTGCTGCCACAAGAGATTAAAGAAGGAAAACTTCTTCGCATGTACCCAGTACTCTTTAATGTTGGAATCAATGAACAGCAAACACTCGCAGAGAGGTAAGAAAAAGTCACTTTCCATTTTCTGTCCAAGTACTCTATGCTAGTACAGGATATCTCTCAGGATTAGAAATAAATCTTTTTTTGTTATTTGCTCTTGGACCCTCTCACATTTACTCAGTGTGTATTTTAATAGGTATTAAAGGAAATAAACACAAGTGATGAAGCAGTGCAGAACAATGAGAGTTCAAGTGAAGATATGACTGTATGAAGGGCTTCATTTCACACAGTCAGTGCCAAGTTTCTTATGGATACAGATAGAAAATGGAATTCTGTTTCATGGTACTCTGAAATTCTCAAAAAAGGGTTTGAAAATTCAGAATTCTTATATCTTAAAGGTGAAGCTGAAGATACTGGACAAGTTATAAGCTAGATAGAGATAATTTTTCTCATCTCTTTAGGGCTTTTTTTCCAGGGTTGAGAAGTGGTAGATAATAATAGGGAATGCATTAGTAGTATGTTTGTGGAAATATGAAGGCTGATATGTTGCTATTAGTCCTCTGAAAGGATTGCTGGAAACTAATTAATTAGTATGATAAAAGCCAAGGTTTCACTAACCTATTAATTTCCTCTTCTAAGAGAAGGATATCAGTCGGTCATGTTAAATTACAATGTTTGTGCAATGCTAAAAGTACAAGGTAGATGTCAACAGAAATAAGCTACTTTTTTTTTTTTTTTGCTTCTTTTTTTAAACTGGTTTTATTAACAGAACATCCAAAAGACATAATACATATCTTTAGATTGCATTCACTACAAGATCAAAAGCAAAAGCATTTCTGGGGAAATAGAGGGAGAGAGTGAAAAGCCCTTGACCTGAACAATAGACAAGAAGTTAAGCACAACAGGAGTTTCACCTCCTGTTCTTTGTAGGCAGCCAAGTAAAATCAGTTTTTTAAGGGAAACTTCTAAGGAATGCCAGCAGATAGCTTTGTGGATGTTTATGTTTATGGGAGACTTCTTGAAACTGAGTGATGTGTGAGAAAATTTAGGTGGAAAATTGAAATGAGGGACAAACTGAATCAAAAGACAGTAAAAACTGGCTTTTTTCTGCTGAAAGAGTTGAATAGTTGCTTAAAGAACTTAGAAGATTCTTGAAAATGAAAATAGCTTACTCTGGATGCCATAAAAAAAAGTGCTGAGAGAAGAGACATGCCCAGAGTGATAATGTATGAAAGCAACAAAATCATTCATGACAGTTGTGACTAGGACACAGTCATTTTTCCAAAATCAGAGAGAAAGGGCTATGCAGTAACCAAGAAACAAGTTCATGACAGCTTACATGGGTGGGATAGGCAGGAAGGATTGTGTGCAACAAATTTTCTGAAGAAAGATTTGACAAGATATAGAAACCGCCTGGTTATCTGGGAACTTGTACAGGAGTCAGTCTGAAAAGATGTCTGGCTTGCAGGTGAAGTGGCAGGAAGAATGTTCACCGTGGTGATTTTGCATTATGCACAAAGAAAGACTTGAATGGAAAAAAAAAGAATATCTGCATATTTATAAATATGGATATATATTAATATCGATCAGGCAAATCAAGTTGGATTATTCAATGCAGAAAGAACTTTCCTGCATGCATTTACAGTCTGCTTTTGCCTTAATTACAAATATTACTTAGCTTCTAATGTTGCACATTTGCCTGTGAGATTGGAAACAACTCATATGGTTATTGGTAAAAGATACAAGGTTTTTTGTGGGATAAAGAACATGAGAATAGGAATACATTTCTGTGGTAATTTTCTAGCAAATTTTACTCTATTAAGTGAAAACATCCCCTTTTTTCAATAAAGTACACTTGAGAATATATCTGATTTAAGAGAAACATTCTCATGTGGCACTGCAGCAATGACTGCTGAGAAAGCATCCAAATCTTTTCTTTTTCTTTCTCTCTTTGGCTCATTTAAATATTTGCTTCCCTTGTGCATGTAGCAGTATATTTGGTATCTTCTGATTTGTGTTCCCTTTCCTCTCCCTGAATTTCTCACTTACCTGTCCGTGCCTCTCTTCCCGTACTCCTCCATTTCCTTTTCCCCATTTCAAGGCTATTCTAAAGATGGGTTGCAAAAACTCTTGGCTGTAACTGCCTAAGGGACCTTCCTGTCTTTACCTGTCATATCTCCTGGAGCAGAGATACCATGGGATTTATTGTTTGGTTCTTTAGGCTCTGTGAAACTTGACTGTTGTAGAAATCTTATTCTTAGAGAGAAAGATATTTGTTTACATAAAGATAGTTAGGTCATGGATAAGCTTAATGGCATCCTAGGTTTTCTGTGAGGTGCAGGATAATGAGGATTTGGGTGATGCTTTCCCAGCCAACTTGACTGCTGCAAGTAACGCCAGAACACGCTCCTGAGGCAGCTGCAGCACTCTGGAGTGACTGCTGAGGTCTGTGCTGCTGCAAGCTTAAATCAGCTATGCTGTGGGTCATAACACTGTGCAGTTTAATGGTGAAATTACTGCTCGGAGGAGGAATGGTTCTCTCATTAGTTTCAGATACAAGAAACCAAGATAACTAACAGCCCAGGAGCAGTGTGGTGCAGAAAGGGCCCAGAGGAGTAATCAGTTTGACTATTTATAGCATTCTCAGACCAGAGCATAAATTAGTTCTTCAGAAGGTTTTCCATCTGACACTTGCATCTCTTCCATCTTGTATCACTTCAGTATGGTCCAGCTCTGGTAGAAATTACTATATGTAAGCAACAACAACATGTAGGAGTAGGTGTTCTCTGTCATTTGAAATTCCTTCAAAGTGCCTCTTCATTTATTCAGGGTTTTTGAAGGCAAAAAGAATATGTGCTGTATTGCATGCTTGTAAATGGATTACTCCCTTCTTAAATTTTTGGAAGAATTATCCATGAGTATTGATGTAATTTACCAGATATTAGTTCCAAAGAACACAAGAGTTTAACAACTGTAAGTTTCATAAAATCTAGCACATTCAACACTAGAACAAACAGATAATAAAAAAAAAATTAAAGTAATTTCTTTATACAAAGAAATAATTCTGAAAGGTAATTTATCTTTTGGTTTGTGGTTTTGTTTTGGGTGGGTTTTTAAATAATTTATTGTGCATTTTTGTAGGTTTGGAGATACCACTTTACAGGAAAACATTAACCAGGAAAACTTAGAACTCCTCAAAGAATATTACAAGCTATTTACGGAAAAAATGCCTCCTGATTGTGAGTACAAAATAATGCAGTATCCAAAAGGCTTTGGAAAGCTTTGATAGGTGAAAGATTGTAAGACAGTTAATATAAGCAGTTAATAAGTTAATATTCAGCTTTTAGATTTAGGTCTCATCCCATAAGTTGTTCCATAACGTTTCACATTCTGTACCTGGTACACAGCCCTGCTGACATCAGGAGTGATTGCAGGCCTAATGCCACAGTAGAAACTACAGGGGGAGCAAAACAGAGTAATGATCAACTAAACAGCTCTTTTAAGTTATTAAAAGTTTCTTAATATTTCAAGTAGAGGACCATCTCTGTCTTCTGTATTTGTACAGAAATATTCAGTGGGAATTTTCATCCGTTTCATTCATTCTCTCTATTCTTATTCTGAAAGTGTTTTGAGGGATGGTGAACCACTGAGAAATCTGCACATGCAAATACAAGCAATGAGCCACATCATAATGATATGAATAACGTGGTTTCATTAAAATAAGCCCTGTATTCTAATTTTATAGAAATTTGATATCATAAACATGAACATTACTGTGCTGTTACTCTCATTGTAAAAAGCAAGGGTCAAAAAGATGATTTGCGTCAATCTAATCCTGTTAAAGTAGTCTTAATGCCTGCACTACAGGCATAGCCCCAAATGTTGCAGATTTTACAGCCTGATTTTGAAATACCTTGGATTTAGGTCTCTGCTTCTTCTGTTTCTTTGGGGTTTGGGTTTTTTTCTGTGTGGGTGGGATGTGAATCTTTTGAATCTGAAGACCTGTGATCCTGCAGGAGATGTGTGTAACTCCTCATGGTGAATACTGCTGGTTAAAATCCTGTACAAAGCTTTGTTATGTCACTGTGTATGAATACATGTTTATCTTTTAGATCAGGATGATTTGAATTTGTTAATTTGAAGTGAAAGCTCTGTTCCTAAACGGTGGGCAGCATGCCCATCCATCCACCCACAGATCTAGTATTTCTAGGATTTCTAGGATTTCTACAGAGAAACTCATACAAGAAGTTAGGTAATTAATTGAGGGGAATCCTGCCAAGAAAATATCCTCAAAAAACTAACCTCATTTGTGGTTAGGTCTAAGGTAGACCTGCTGCCTCATAAATGGATTTGATTATATAAAAGCAAAAATTTGCATGCAGATAGTATTGCCTGCTTTTCATTAACAGAATTTAAATTTGTGCTATCTTCCTGCAGGATTATTAGTGAGCCACATAATCTTCCTGGACTTCTTCCAGACTGTGCAGGCTTTTGAGAACTATGCTTGTCTAATTCATAGTGTCTTTTTCTGGTTATTATTACTTTCTTGATTTTTCTCTACCTTGAAGATCTGAGTCTCTTATTTGTACAAATTTTTTCAGAACACAAAGCACCTGCTGGTTCTGTTGCCCTTCCCAGTAGCTCCTGGCCATTGTACAGAATCACTCTTTTGCCTTGGAGGAATGTGCCTTTTAAACCAGCTCCCTGGAAAAAAAATGAAGCTCTCCAATTTGTTCTTTTGAGGGAGCACTTCAGTCCCTCTCCTGTTCCCCCACCTCTGGAAGATAAACCTCCATACAATCTGGCAGCAGCCCTGGTGGTATAGCCAAGAGAGAGCATTGATGACTTTTTGATGTTTTTTCCCACCTTTCCAGATAGTTTCCCATATAGCCAAATCTCTGCTACAAAATAAATGCAGAACCCAGTTCCCAAAGCTGTTAGTTTCAAATAGTGCTCATAAAGCCCAACAGAATTTGAGGACTCACAGCCCTGTTTACCAGGCTGTTGCATCCACCATCCTTCGGCAGCCTCACCTGCCTGATGCTTCATTCATATATTCCTTTTTAAAGAATTCAATTTTCCGCTTCCATTCTATTTTTTTTTATTTTCTATTAGTTTTTATCTCAACTCCGTAATTCCCCTTGTCAATAATATTCTAGCTAGTAACTGCATATCCCAAATGCTGACTTTCTATCTTCTTTCAGATAAACATACCCTCTGTCATTCATCTGTTTCTTATCCTCTTTAATTCTTTCATAGGAAATCCTGAAAATAACAGTGTGTTTCCAAAAAGATTACTACCAAAAATGCCAGCTAAATACAGTTCTTGTTTAGGCACCAAAATAGTACTGCTTTTACAAAATAGCTAATGATAGTAAGGGTCCAAAAATATAAGATAATTTTTTTCAGTAGTACATAGTTAATTGAAAACAACAGATTGGAACTTAACTTAAGGAGCTGAAAGGATAAAATTGCAGTTGCTGGTTTGCTACCTAACACCCACGGCATCCCATTGTCCCATGTGAGAAGAGGGATGCATGCATGGTTTTGAAATCCTGCAAGGATAAAGGTTTTCCTTCATAGCATCAATAATGCATGTAGCACTACATGCATTTTCAACATCTACGAGTCTGTTTTCAATTCCAGGCTTTTCCCTCTTGTAATCTATGAGACTGATTTGATGGTTCAATACTGCTTGGTGACACGAGGAATTTAAGCTCTAGATCCCTTCCAGCCAAGGTGCAGTTCATTTGGCAGTGTTATAAATTAGGAGAGTCTTGCTTTACCTATCGTGAAGTCACCTCTCTGAGATGTTCCATTTTCTGCTGTGAACCGAAGGAAAACTGCCTGAAAGGAATACAATGTTTACCTAGTGATACATTCCCGTAATCTTGAAGCATTTTTGTTATTGTGTGCTTTGTGTTTTAAAGAAACAGATGCAACATAAGTATAATTGTCTAGCAGGTTGTGATGTATTTTTATGTGCTCTGCATTATCTGAGTGTGTAATTGATAAAACAACTCACAGTCAGATTATTACAAAACGAGTTTGGATACATTTTTTCCAGCTTTTGTTTGTTTGCTTGGTTTTTTTTTTTGTTTTAGGCAGCACAATATGAGTAAGGCAACTTAGAAATTTTTTGAATAGTTCTTTTTGAGTATGTTTAAATTGCTTCTTAATAAGCATCATGGATAAGGGAAACTGCAGAATTTATTAGATATAAAAGGTAATAACCTGTTGTTAAGAGAGATCAGCTTTGATCAGGTTAGGAGAACAGATATTGACCTTCATTAAGAGTTAACTCATTTTCACACTTTCAATTGAATATAAATGTTTAGACTTGGGTTGCTGGGGTTTTCTCCCACTGAATGGAACAACTTCTTGTTGAAGAAATTGTATCCATTTATCAATTTGGTTTCACTTTGTTTCAGCTGATTCTGAGCCTTTTTTTGGTGATAACTATCATTACATTTCTATTTACTTCACCACCATAAGAAGAAATAATTTCAAAAAACAGATTTTGATTGTTTCTACTAATTTTCAAAACTAGGGAAAATAAAGGTAACATTGGAACAAACCCCTCCTATATATATAGTACAAAACAGAAACTCTTGAATTTTTGCTAGAGATGTATGATAAATTAAACTTCAGCTCACCTGCCATACTCAGAACAAGTAGGTAAAATTTTGAATTTTAAGCAAACCTGAAATTATTTTGTACTTCAAAATTGAAGCCCCATTTAATTTTGGACTAAGAAATATCCTTTGTTAAATTTTAGAGGGGATATTTAGTGCTGTTTAACCCTCATGTTACATTATATAAGGAACTAAGGCATTATTTCAAAGCAAAAATGAGATGTTTAATTTTGAAAACAAAGGCAAAATATTTTGAGTTAAAATAAAAAAAGTCATACCATCAAGTCAGGTTTTATTACACTCAGTTTTTTTAGTTCTGATTTCCACTGATAGTCTGCAATAGTTGATGAACAGAATTACAGCAGAGATTTGGTTTTGGTTTTCACCATCTATTTATAAAAGTTGAGGACACTTCAATTTTCCAAATTTAAGTGAATATCTTAGGGAGGACAACCCAATACTTAGAAAGACATAAGATTTGCTTATTTCCTAAATATTTAGCTGGTAATTTCCATCCTTTGTTCCCAAACAAGGCTGTAAATAATAGACCTGTTCTTTACTACGGACATCCTTTAGTTAGGAAAACCATATCATCAGCCTTACCATAATGAGCACTCTTACCATCCTTTTTTTCCAGGTCTACCACATTTTCAAGAACAAAATGATTTAAAGGGATTGCTAGAAAATCTCCATCAAAATATCCAGGCCAAAAGGAGAAAGAATGTAGAAATCATGTGGCTGGCTGCGACGGTAAGCTCTCTTATTTCAGATAGGTTCACATGATGAACTAATTTTCACATGCCTGCTGTTGATGAACTAATTTTCACATGCCTGCTGTTATTGTAAGTGCAATAGATTATAAGGATATAATGGAAAACTCAATGATTAAAGTAGATAGATGTGCTGAAATGGCTCTCTAACATACCTGCTCTCATAGTTTCTCATCCCGCTCACAAATGCATCTCTTCTTCCTCCACTTAAACTACAGATATTTTCTTTTTCTCACTTTTTAAAGTGATAGAACAGGCTAGAACTTGAGCAAGAGATAATCTTGGTTATTTTGTTGTACCCCACATTGTCCAGGCCATTCTCTACCAGCTTCTCCTGGCCAGGCAGTCTTTGACCTGTGTTGCTGCTCGAGATTTTGTCCCAGATGCAGGGGTTTCCATTTATCTCAGTGAGTTGTGTAACAGGGTAAAAGAGGTTTGGATTTTTGTTTGGGGCAGGTTTTTTTCTTCAACTATGTGAGTCTGATTTTGGGCAGAGGAAGCCCTTCATCACGTATATGGGCAGAATCGTTTCCTTGAGTGAGCACACATAGCTGTAAATATATCACCTCATACGAGAGAGACAACACAGTTACAGTATCTAACTTTTTTTTTTTTGTTTAAAATCATTTCATGGATAATGTAGAATCATCATGGATAATGTAAAATTTGGTTATTCAAAATAAAATTTTATTTGATGTCCATAAGCCTTGAGGTATGATGTGGGACGTGATGAGGTATGATGTGGGCTTTTGTTTACTATTGCTGCATTCACCTTTTGATTTCTGTAGTTAAAGTACTTTTATAAATAACTGTTGCAAAGGATGTACAAAGGACAGACCTTCAGACACAGGGAGAACACAAAGAAAATTGTTTATCAGACAATGATTAATACTTACTTTGCTTTATTCAGATAATTCCTTTGTTTCCCAATTCAATGGGTTTTGCACATACATGTTAAAAGAAAAACAAACAACCCTTAGATGATTATAAAGAGCTCAAGCTTTTCAAGAATGTGAAGTTCAGGCAGATAACTGTCTTAGGTTTAGAAAAGTACCCTTGGCCTCTCTGCCCATTTATAAAGCCAGGACTTGAGTCTTTGATATCTACTGAAATTGAAGCAAGACTTTATGTTTTGGGAGACTTTTAAATGTATATACCCTTCAAGGAATATAAATATTTGGTACAAAATTATTCATAAAATTTTCCATGACCTTTCATTAAGACCAGGAAAAAGACAATATTAACTTTGTCTTTGTATTAATAACACTGCTGTAACTTTCATATTGCTAGTAACATTTTGCCATGTGATTAATAAATATTATCACATGATATTGAAGTATAAATCCTTTGTAACTGAAAATATAAGCTTTTCCTGCAGTACCAGTTGTGCAATTGCCATAAAACATTTCCTTTTAAAATAGTAAAAGATATATCAGTACAGGTTAGTATAAAATGAGCTATAAAGAATATAGCAGAATGTGCCTAATCTTTGGATATAGAAACTTTATTCTACCATCTAATCTGGGTTCCCTGAAAATAATTTCATGGGTAAAATGCAGTCTTTGGACATACAGAGTGTTTCAGATTTTTCCTTCTCTGAATTCTATTTCATTTTAGGTTACCTTACTGTAACCTTCTGAAATTATTATTTCTGAAAGCATTGATCTACACTGTTATACCATGTTCCATTTATTTACTGAAAAGGATATAAGGATATAACTGATTTAGTGCAGTAGCTGTGAAATATCACTTTTTTATTGCAGTAGATGCATGAGATTCTACATGGATGTGCACATGTATCTGCACCTCATGTAATCTCTGTTGTATTGGGACTGTGAGAATAAATTTAATAAAAGTTAAGTCTGTTTCTTCTCCTCCTATATCTTCAATATATTTGGGAAATAAGTGAGCAAATTTGAGAATAAAATTCAGGCTGGATACTAATGATAAACCATGTGTTCTGATATGATACTATTACTATATAATTGCTATTGTCCCTTATTAGATTTCTAGAGCACCAGAGCATCGTGTTTGTCCATTTTAATAATCTATTTTGTTTGACTGCAGCTGCTTAGGGAACTGAGTCATTCTAAGTCTGGGCTAGCATAAGAAGTCAGCCTGTATTTCTCCTTAAATCCGAATCTAAGGATTTTTTTATTTCATTATTTAACTTAAAGTACTATTTTCTATTTAGTCCACTTTAAAATTATTGAGACATTTGTACTGAAATTCAATGAAAAGGAAGCTTGTGAGTGTCTGCGGTGATTTGCTTGTTGTGCCTGGAATGCTTCTCAGTTGAAAACCAACTCTCACTAGCCAGTGCTTTGTTTGTGTGCTGTCAGCCCAGATTTGGGATTTAGTCTCCCTTCCCTGCATCAGAGCCCACCACTCATCCAGAATAATTACCTGGGTGGTTTTTATGACTCATTCACATCAAATTGTGACAACGACTCATGGACTTCCAAAGAGACTAGTGTAAAGAGGATTAACTCTTCAATTGGGCAGTTAACTTCTTTCACATCATTATTTAAGAAAATTATCATATAGTACTTTATTTAAATCCCAATGCAACTGTTCAGATTTTTAAGCAGATTTAAGTTAGAGGACGGAAAAAAGACTCATAGTTTCTCCTTCACTACCCTTTCCCTTTTTGGGTTCTAAGATAGATTCAGTTAATTGATTCCCTGAACTAAACTTTTCAGATCACCATTACCATGCTATTGCAAAGACCTTAAAGACTGTAAGTATTTTCTGGGCCATTGATTTTAATAGAATTTCTGAGAATGCAATTAACAGATGAAGAAATGCTTTTGCTGAAGTGACATTATGAAGATCATGTTCCAGCTTCATCCTGCAAGCTGCCACTAGATAGCCAAGCTGGGAAGTTCTTTAGGATGATTACTGCTGTAATTTATTGCCTTGCCCTAATCATTTCAGGTTTTGATACTGTTATATCTATGATCCTCTGGGGTTAGGAGCAAGCAAAGGACAAACAATATTAGGAGTAAGGTAGACCCACACTTGGGCACAGCAGCTCTCCTTCTTCTTTTTCTGGTAAAATACTGTTTGAACCCAAAATGTAAACCCATGGGGTGGTACAACCACAGATTAATTCTTAAGGTGAGAAATTATCCTTAAAAATATCATGTTTCCCTTGTCCCTTATAATTTTCTTAAAATATACAGTGAAAGTAGGCAATCCATGGCAGTCACTTGTGTTAAGCTTTCATATGGAAAAAATCACAAAGAACAGTTTACCTGTTGAGCATAAAGACTTTAATTTCAGATGTGTCTGAATCCATACCCTCACGAGGAGTTAGCCTGCTGCGTTCATGCGTCTGAGTTAAGACCTACCAAGGTTTTCCTTTATTCATCAGGTATTCAGACCATTAAGTTTTCATTGAATAGGGTGGTTGTCAGAGAAAGTGAGGAGACAGTGAAGCAGCTTTTCCTTTTATAGCCTAGGCTAACACAAATCCTTTTTATTTCAAGCTCAGGAAATTGGATGTGATGGTTTGCTAAGCTGTAGTATGTGTAGAGATTTTACTAACTTGCTAAGAATGCTTAGGACTAAGTATGGAAGATTTTTTTTGTTGAGTTCACCATCTGTTTCTTGCTTCTCTTGGCGGGGGTGTTGGGGTGGGCAGGAGAGAGACTTGATTGCAACTGCAGTACAAGGTTGTGTGCACCACTCTCCTAAGTGTGATAAGGACTCCCTTTTCCTCAGTTGGGTGGGTTATTTTAGGCTTGTCCTGCTAACAAAAGCCTTGAATATCTGCTTTTAAAATGTGTCATTTGGACAAATGAAAGTGGGCTATATAGTTATAATCTCTTGGAGCTGTTTTTGTAGAGCGTTAATGCTGCAAACTTATGAAAAAAAGAAAAATTGACAGTTCTTTTCAGCCCAACATTTTCATCTTTCGTGGCACTGTGTCAGGCCAGCATGGGCATAACAGAACATGAGCATCCCCGAGGCAGTGCTGATAACTGATTTAACCACACAGACTGGGGTCAGCAGCCTCATGATCCGGGTTGTAGTTACGAAAACTTTCAACAGCTGTTTTCTCCTTGAGGAGCACTGTAGTTCTCTGAAGCCGTTTTCTGGGATTGCAAAGCTGTAGGAGTTGCAGACTCTGCCTGGTGTGAGAAGGGCTCACCTTTGACCCCTGCCCGTGTTTCAGATTTGCCGGAAGCTGAACGGCGTCCGCTTCACCTGTTGCAAAAGTGCCAAAGACCGGACGTCCATGTCGGTGACGCTGGAGCAGTGCTCCATCTTGAGGGACGAACACCAGCTTCACAAGGACTTCTTCATCCGGGCTCTGGATTGCATGAGAAGGTACGTGGAGGTTTTTGCGTGTCCCTCGCGTTTTGAGCTGAGCCAGGAACTGCAGTGCTGAGAGTGGTCTTAAAGCTGGTTTTAAGGGCACCATAGACCCAGCCCTGACTTAGCAGAGGGCTGACCAGCAGTGTGCCAGCTGGTAAGTCACTCTTTGTCTGCAAGGTCTTTGCAGCTGTGTGTTTATCACTAATTATCACCTGTTTCTGAGACAGATATATGAAACTTTCCAAGCATCAACTCGCCCACCATAGAATTTGGAAATAACGGCTACTTTTCAGTTTGAAGAATACTTTTTAAAACTTTTACATATTCATTAAATAACTTGTAAAAAATTTACACAAATACTGGGAAAGCAAAATAAGCATTTGTTACAGTTGGTAATTCTTACTAGCTCCTGTTATTAAAAAAAAAAAGAAACAACCAAGTAGATTTGGAATGATGGTGGTTGCCATAATACCTGATAAAATCTTTACTGTGCTTTAAAAAAATTAATTAAAACGTGTATTATTCTAAATTGCAACTATGCAGAAATTGAGGCTGATGTTATCAGGAATGTGTAATTAAAAGATGTAAAGATTTCTGATTACCTGAATCTTTGATGTATAAAAAAACTCACTGAGCAAACAAGTTTTGATTATAAAGTGAATCCAGATGCTAGATTCTCTAAAAAAACTTTCATAATTGGTTTTAATGAGTTTAATCACATGGTTTTAATCATAATGATTTTAATCATATTTTCTATGGGAGTTTAATAAAATGTATCCACAACATTAGAATAATATATAAACAAAGATCACTACAAAACTAACAGAAAATACTCTGGTCAGTTTGCAAAGAAATAACTGAATCATGTCGTGCATTTATGTGAAACACAAATTGTTTGTATGTTGGATTTGGGAATAACATGCTAAGTAAACAATCATGTTTAAAATCCATAATGGGTAATTCTTGACCTTAATATTTTGTATTGTCAAATTAGGTGTTAAACATCTGGATTAATACTGTAGGTTTACACACATAGAGTCCTTTTGTCTTTTGGCAAAGATAGATATTTTAAAGAAAAAGGGTAATTTTACGAAGAGTAAACGAGCAGAGGACTGAGATGGCTCAGATGTAGAGTTGGTTCACAAGGTGCTGGTGCAGTGTGATGTAATTAACTGAGGTGGATCGTTTTGTATGTATCATTACCTTGCATAAATCCCTCAGTCCCTGCAGTAATTCAGTGAGTGAATGACTTGTGTGCAGTCTTTCATAACTACATGTTTAATCAATTCTGAGTTTTCTGTGTTAAATTTCATTTGTGTTGTCATTTCAAATACTTTTTTCTGTTTATTTGTTATGTCTCCAATAAATACAAAATTGTATTTAGCTACAGAAAATTACCAGATACAGGAAAATTAATTATATAAAATTGTTATTATGTTAGAATAGCATTGAGTAGTCAATTGGAAAAGTTTTGCAGACATATACATGCTTAAAAAAAAACCCTAACTTCTTAGTACAAAAGTCTAGCAGGTTTTTGTAGATTAAAATGTAAGCAACTTTGAGTGGTTTTATATCATATAACTGATTTGAAAGTTACCTCATTAGTTGAATTTGCAGATAACAGTGACTTGGAGTCCCAAAAGAATGGTGAAAAGCCAAAAAAATCTGGAGAATATTTAAAAAATAGGAGGTGGGTATGGCTGAAGCACCACTACAGAACTGTCAAGTCTATGGTTGTGCTGTAGTTTTAAACAAAGAAAAGCTTTATCCTACTCTTACCCTGTAAGTGAATTTGAAACAGCCTGGCGCTAAAGGAGATGAAAGGTGTGCTGGATGGAAGGTAATAATTTTGACTTGGGTGGTACAGCTGTCTGAGTATTAAAGCAAAGGCCTTGCAAGTAGTAGCAGTAGCATACAAAAAATAACCTGCTACAAAAAAATACTGTCAGGATAACAAATAAATATATATATATCTTTCAACTAAGCTAATTTCTATCAGTATAACACTGTTCGCAAAAGTGGAAGTTAAAAAAAAAAAAGAGCAGCCAACTTATTCTTCTTTTTTTATTTTTTTTTTTCCTCATGAGCTGGTGAATGAAAGCCCAAAAATTTAGAATAGAAGAGTAAAGTCTCAAATGGGGACACAGTATGTAACTCCATGGTGCTCCCACTGAGAGTTGGTCAGGCAGTTTAAGAACTGTCTTTGAGGTGCTTTTTTTTTTTCTTTTTTCTATCTTTGGTGCTAGAAACATTCAGCAGGGACTGCTTCTTCCTCCCCACTGCCCATCAGTTGCTGGAGGTGCTTCTGGAGCAGGGGTGGAAGGGACATTGGCATTTCTCCCTGGAGCAGTGCTGGACCCTCCAGGTGGGCACTGCTCTTGTAGGCTGGTGGAGAAGGGTGATTTGCAGAGAAAGGCAATTTGGGAGAGCAAGCTGAGAAGAGCAGACAGGTAAAAAGAGCAGAGGAAAAAAAAAAAAACAGCCATCATTTCCACAGCAAGAGATATAATGGCATTTCAGCTAAATCTCCTGCATTTTTCCGAGGGAAGTTTGGCAGCTATGTTTTTGAGGTTTGTGTGAGTGAGGTCAATAGGCGTGTTTTGTAGTTATTGTGACACTTGGGCTTCTGTAGTTTTTTTATTTGATTATTGTTGCAGCCTGTTATTTAAAAGATTATGCTGTGCATTTCTAAAACTTCATTAACTACTTGTAGAAGCTTTTAGAATGATTTTCACATCTGAAAGAACCTATTTCGTTTCAAGAGCAGACAGAGAAAAACTGTTTGCCATTTAATTTACAATTTTAGCAGTTTTCCCCCAATAAATTTTCTCTAGATCACTTTGTTAAACTTTATCAATCAAATCCCTTTATGCTGATGGTTACAAATTGCTTTTAAGCCTTTCAAAATTACAAGTAGACAAGAAAAATACAATTTTAACAGAGAATCCTAACAGAGTGGATTGATTTTTGAAAGGCTTCTTTCAAGAGTTAACAGTAGGAGATAGAGAGTACTGTGAAACTAAGTGAGTTGTAAAAGTAAATGGTGATTCAAAAGCAGCCTTTATTGGAAATGGCATCATTTTGAGATATGAAAATTATAAAGGTGCCTGTATAGCTGTAAAACTTTTTCTTTTCCTGCCAGTGCTGACATAGCTTTGCTGACTGTTGTAAAAGGGAAATATGTGCTTACAGGTTTGTGTTTTCTTGCCACCAGAAGTTTGGAGATCTGGGTTTCTGTGTGCTGCTGCTTTTCAGCTTCTTTGATGCCCCCAGAATTTTGAGCAATCCAGAAGCAATTTCAGATGTTTCAGTGTATTTGCTTCAGTGTACACTGCACAACCCACTTTTGGAAAATACTTCTAGTGGTGGTTTTTTAATGACTTAGTTTGTAAATGGAATTGTTATCTTGTAGTGATAAACTACAAAATGTTTATTGCTTCTTAAAAAAAAAAAAAAAGCTATACAAAAATCCTTCTATTAGTTCTTTCTTTAGCTTATGAAAAATGTGGCGAAACAATGACAGCAAACTTTATCATTTACAATATGTAATAGATGGTTTTGTCTTCCGGTTGTAACTCTAACCATTATGATGCTGCAATTGGTATGTACCTGAAGCAGCTATTCTATAAATAATTCCACATATTATAATTGCCTTGGTATAGGTAAGTGACTTCCATTGATCTTAGTGACATGCATAGTGCAGAATGAGAAAAATCAATATATTATCCCCTCTGTATCAAGTGCTTGCCTTTCACATCATATTAAAATAATCTCTATAATGTTTCTGCCAGTTTCAATTCATTTTTTGCAAGCATCAATATTCTTACTTTTCTGTTCACAATATGTGAATATTTCCTATCATTCAATGTTAACTCTATTCCAAGAGACAGTAGAGAGACAAAACTGATTTACCCAAGTTAACTGCAGTATCTGCCACGTGATTCTACTTTTCATCTTCAGAGCTGGCCACTGCCTAAAGGAAGATGGATCCTGGTGGGCAGCACATAGTGAAGCAGTTCTGTAAAACGAATTTGATATTTTTTTCCTTTTATAAAATTTATTTCTTTTCTGAACCTATTTAGTTTTAGTGTTTCAGTGACAGGGTCCCTTTTGGAGGGCATGGGGTAGAGAGCAACCTTAGAATCTCCTGGTCTTTGAGCATGTTTCCAGTAAAGTCTCAAAAGTAGAAACAAGCAAATAAAATGATGAACCCACTGTCTGCACTGAATCCTTCGTGCTTTAAGCTTTAGTATCATTCTCAGCAGGGCACAATACCTGTCAGATATTTCTGACATTGAATACAAAATTTGACTCAATGTGGGGCACACTGTTTTCACTTGAAACTGCAGCTGAGGATATTTAGGGTTATTTTAGATAAATTGCCTATCAAAAATCTGGTTGAAGCACAAGTGCAAAGAATGCACAGTCTGGGCCAAAAGGTATTGGGCTTTTGATGGCCCAAGTATGAAGAAAATATCTCCTTTTTAAAAAGCTGTTTGAGGACAGCTTTTCTAAAGATGTATGGGTTGAATAGCAGGAATAGCTGTACTATCTCTTTAGTCAGGGACTTTCAGATGATCTGGGTGCAAGCCATAGGTCCAGGCTGAGATGGACCTTGGCCATGGAGGAGCCTGTACCAAACACCAGTGTTGTGATTGCTACATGGACTAGGAAGCAGGAGAAAAGAGAAAGGATGAAAGACAGGGATCTATGTGCAAATCTCTCTGTGCCTCTCTCCCATCTCCCAGCTTTCACCCTGCCCCTGTGAACTTGTGGCAATAGATGCAGCATGTGAGGGGTCACACGGAAGAGGAAGCACAACTTCTCTAACCTTTCCATTTTTCCAGCCCACCTGACCTTCTCTACCCTTTTTTTTTTTTCTAGGAGTGGTAATGCAGCGTAAAAAAAACTTTTAAAGGAGGGCCTGACTTCCAATACAGATTTTTGCATCCTTCTATTACTCTTTAGAAACTTAAGATCTATATTTTTAGATGATTTGCATTACCTGATGT